AGCTTGAAATACAGTGTTAGCTGTGATGTGTGCCTCAGAGTGGTATCCCTTTAGCACACACCTTCAATCTGTGTGCTGAACAGCTACTCTGAGCAGAGCTGCATGATACGAAGAGGAGCAGGGCAGCAGACGCGAAAGACAAGTCACCAACAACGGGCAGGGCACAGATGACACAAGCTCGTTTGCTGAAAGCAAGCCGGAATCGCGGTACTTGCTTTACATTGATGAAAAGCAATGTAAACAAGCAAAAATCCTTACTACTGGACCAGTACACAGCATCATGATCAATGTCAAAGAGACTACAGTTGTCAAGGATTTCATTTTATTTAGCTCCACAATCAATGTTCATGGAAGTAGAAGTTAAGCATCAAACGACATATGGTGTTGAGCAAATCTACTGCACAAGACCTCATGAAAGTGACAAACAGCAAAAATGCCCCTTTGAGAACTAAGGTGTGCCTCGGCCCAGGCAGGGAGTTTTCGATGGCTTCATATGCATGTGAAAGATGGATAATGACTGAGGAAGAGCATTGAAAATACCGTGGACTGCCAGAAGAACAAACCCTTCGGTCATGAAGCCAGCATGCTCCTTAGAAGCCAGGCTGGGGAGACTTTGTCTCCTGCACTCTGAGCGTATTATTAGGAGAGACCAATCCCTGGGAAAGAGTATCATGCAATGTCAGTGAAGAAGACGACAGTGGCGACAATGGGCAGTGAGGCCGGGGCGGAGCAGGCAGTGCCTTGTTCGGGTGTCCATAGTGTTGCTCTGCGTCAGAACCGACCAGATGGCATCTAACACCATTGGAGGTGGGGGGTGGGGGGGCGAAGAGCCTCATCTAAAATCTCACAGCTTATACAATCATGAACTCAAAATGGATTATAGAACCGTAAAGCATAAAGCCTTAACTATTTTAGAAGAAAGCACAGGCAAAAATCTTTAGGATCCAAGTTAGGTGAGGAATTTTCAGAAGTAACGCGAAAAACATGATCCATCAGAGAAAGAAACAACAAATTGGATTTCAATAAAATTAACTTTAAAAAAAATCGTTTTATTAGGGGCTCATACAACTCTTATCACAATCCATGCACACATAAATTGTGTAAAGCGCATTTGTACATTCATTGCCCTCATCATTCTCAAAACATTTCCTCTCCACTTAAGCCCCCGGCATTAGGTCCTCATTTTTCCCCTCCCTCCCCGCTCCCCCTCCCTCATGAGCCCTTGATAATTTATGAATTGTTATTTTGTCATATCCTGCCCTGTCCGACGTCTCCCTTCACCCACTTTCAATAAAATTAACTTTTGCTCTGCCAAGGTCACTGTCAAGACATTGAAAAGACGAATGACCGACTGTTAGCAGGTGTCATCACATCGGAGCCGACTCATGGCGAGCCGATGGGCAACAGAAGGCAACACTGCTCGGTCCTGTGTCTCTGTATCCGAGCCCATCCTTGCAGTCACTGTGTCCATCCAGCTTGTTAAATGTCTTCCTCTTTTTCGATGCCCCTATAATACTTTACCGGACATGATATCCTTTTCCAGGGACCGGGCTCTCTTGATAATACATATAGCCAAAGTATGTGAGACCAAGTCTCGCCATTCTTGCCTTTAAGGAACATTCTGGCTGTACTTCTTCCAAGACAGAATCGTTTGTTCTTTCGGCAGTCCACAGTACTTTTCATATTCGTTAAAGACCTCTTTATTTTTTTCATTTTATAAGTTGTATTGACATATCTTACACAATTCAATATATCCATTCACATACAATTCTGTTGTTCCATCCATCGAGCAGAGTTACACAATTATCAATGATATCAGCTCCCTATTGCCCCTCTTCTCTCCCCTTCCCATACCCCAGGGACCCATTACTCCTGTTACTGTTTCTGCGGGGTTATCTATCTTGACTTTCATGTACTGAACAATCTTAAATATACAAATGAGCATATGCAAATCTAACATGATTAATGAGGTAAAACAAAGCAGCCTTAATAGTAAGGGGAGGAAATATTAAAGAACTAGTGGACTGGACCCTGGATTTACCATCCTTCTCATGTGACCTTTCTGAGAGGGTTTGTCCAATTACCTTGCAGGTGAGTTTTGGGTCTCTAGTGCATCCATGCCCATTCACATCAAGTTGGTTGTGTTTTTTAACTTCTGATATCTCTTCCTATAGACACCTTATGATCACACAGGGTGGTGTGCCTCTTCCATGTGAGCTTTGTGGTTTCCCTTCTAGATGCCGTTCTGACCCCAGACACTATATCTTTTGAGAGCCAGGCACCATCAGCTTTCTTCACATTTGCTTGTGCACCCATTTTGCCTTCAGCGATTGTGTCAGGAAGGTGAGTATCATACAGTACCACATTATTAGAACAAACCATTCTTGTACCGAAGCAGGATTTAAGTAGAAGCCCCCCCCCAAAAAAAAGACCTTTAAAGTGTGAAAAAGCAAAAGCAAGGATGTTATTTAGAGGATTGAGGTGCACCTGGCCCAAGGCATGGTATTTTCAATCACCTCATAGGCATGTAAAAGTTTGACACTGAAAAAGGAAGACCGGAGAAGAAATCAATGTGTTTGAAATTAGGATATGTGATTTTCTGAATCCCGTATTTGACAAAAGACTTGTTACTTCACTATCTAAAAGAAGATATATGAATGGCAACTAGCACACGAAAAGATGTTTTGAATCATTAGTTATTTGTGGTGGTCCTGTTAGGTGGCATCGAGTTGACTTTCCACTCATAGAAGTACCTCTGTAAGGTTTCTAATCTTTAGGTAAGCAGACTACTAGGTCTCTCTCCAGCAGAGCCACTTTCAGGTCACAGCCAAGCCCTTGACCACTGTGCCACAGAAACACCTATTTTCTGTTGTTAGTTGATCCTTCCTCTTGGAGAATGCATGGGTGCAGAGAAGCACATTGACAGGCCAGTCTTCCATAGTGGGTTTACAAGGTGGGCTGCTCACCATAAGGTCCCACATTCTAGCCCACTATTCTCCCCTTCCTTTTGCCAATGCCCAGTTTTATTTCCTAGAGGTCACCTCCATCAAAAAATACTCTTTTTTTTCATTGTAAAATGCATTTTAGCAGCTGTACTAGAGTAGAAGGTAACACCTTGTAATTTGATCTCCCTGAGGCCCAATGTTGAATTTACTCCATACTTTTAATTGACTGCTTTCTCTTAGATTGTGGCCTTTCTCTGTTTTATATGATCATTGTTGCTGGATCCTTGTTTGTTCTTTGCTCTAGTTTTGTATGTTTATCTGTAGGGGGAAACCTGGGTGAGTGGAATTACTAAGGCAGTAGCAGCTGGATTGTTGATTGCCTGGGGTCACTGAAGGGAAGGGAGGGCGTGGGAAATGGAGAGCCAGCATCAATGGGTACCAGAAGGAAGAACATTCCCAAAGTTGGTTGTAGTGATGATTGCACAACCCTTTTTGATGACTGAACTATTGAATTGTATGGTATGTTAATTATAGGTCCATAAAATAAAATTAAAAAGATTGTATGTTAAACTACGTATAGTGGGGGGGGGAAGAGTTCTTTTTTAACTTTTATCTTATTTCACACACAAGTATTCTGTTATTTTTGCCTCCATGCTGACAGTATACATACTATTTCAAACCTTTTCCCCCATGTCATGATTACCTTAGAGGTCTTCACATACAGAATTCGTCCTTGGCACATATTCCATTGAATGAATGTACCAAAATTTATGTCCCAAGTCTTTTATTGGTAGTTTCGACTTTGCCTCCTGTAACATATTGCGTGCTACTTGTACTGCAAGGGATTACACTGAACAAATGATTTGTGGACCCTTAGATCTATTTCAGTATAAAATGAACATCGTAATTGTGTCTAGGATTGATGAAAGGAGTGGCGGTATCATTGGGCATATGATATATGAAATAAGCCTAAACCTAGTTTGTAGCTTTAGGGTCTTTCGGAGCTTGATGTCTTTCAAATTAACCATGCAGTTAGTAGCCCAATGTCTACTAACCCACAGCCCCACCAGACTCCTTTCTTCAAGGTCAATGGATAACCACACTGGGATACAGCCAGATAATGGAATACTAGTCTGACACTATGAAGGAATGAACTGTTGTGAAAGATAATCACATGGACAAATCTATAAACATTTATGCTAAAAGTAACTAGACAAAAGGCATGTATTCTGTTATATTTACAGCAAATTCTGGAAAATACAAACTCATTTACAGAGACAGAAAGCAGCTGAGTAGTGGGCTCTTGAGGATGGGAGGTGTTCTGAGGGGCGGAAAGATGACGAAGGGGCACAAAGAAAGTTTCAGGGGTAGTAGATATGTTTATTTTGATTGTGGTGTTAGTTTCATGAAAGTATAAATATATAAAACAAAATTATACTTTAAGTATATGAAGGTCAATGATAGCTCACTAAAAAGTGCATCTTAAGTACTAGATGAGCCCTTGCACAAACAAAAACAAAAACGTCTCTCAGTCTGAATAAGCTCTTCCCCACTGCGTATGATGCTTGTAGTCGCGTTTGGACAGAGTCTGACTCAAAGCGACCCCAAGGGTGCAGCTCGAGCTGCTCCTGCTCCAGAGGGTTTTCAAGTCTGGGTGACCTTTTGTACCCAGCACCCGGCTTGTCTTTGGAGGTGCTTTGGGGTAGGTTTGAACTGCTGGTGCCACCCAGCTATTAATGAGTATCCATCATCCATGAGTTAAGCCCTCCGGCCATCAATGATAGCTTATGGGCTATGTTTAAATGCTAAGAGCACTTAAGCAAAAAGATGAGCATGTACTGAACGGCAACTATAAGTGAGGCCCGAACATCACTCTAATGCCAGGTTCCTCTTTTGTACTCTGTTCCTGCTACAACTATGGATTTTGCCAGAATGTTAACTTCTTTGTCTCCAGCAGCACTCAGCTTGTAAAAGAACATATCAGAAGAATGCCAAGGGGGACTGGCATCACAGTCTACAAGATCATGATGAAAATAAAAATGAACATACTAGTAATACGTAATTAACAGATCACGATTTATTGTTTTATTTTTAATGTTATGTAGAACATATAAGGGTCACACCCCCCTCCCAAACAATCTGTAGAAGTCAAGAGGCTGGTTGACAGTTGAACAAGTCTTTGCATTTCTCTAAGTACTCTTTACAGGCGGCTTTGTAATGTGTTAGCAAAAGCAATTCACCCCTTGTTAGAAATGCTCTACTTTTTAAATGCTCTACATGTAAATAAAATCTTACGTTTGCTAGTAATATAATTTCTTCCTTTTTCTCTAGATTGAGATCTTAGCCCTATAATTGTACTCATCTTCAAAATTTCATACAGTAGGAAAGAAATCCTATCATTTATCCTGCATAAGGATTGGAGCAAATTCCTTTGACTCCCAAGCCAGTTATCTGTTGAAAAAAAGAGAAATTCTGGTTAAAGGTAATTTACAAGTATTCTTCTAAAGCAGCAGTTCTCAACCTGTGGGTTGCGATCCCTTTGGGGGTTGAACGACCCTTTCACCGGGGTTGCCCGATTCACAATGACAGTAAAGTTACAGATATGAAGTAGAATGAAAATAATTTTATGGTGTGGGGGGGTCACCACAACACGAGGAACTGTATTAAATGTTCGTGGCATTAGGAAGGTTGAGAACCACTTGTTCTAAACCACTCAAGATAATATATTTTAAAACAATATACTTACCCATCAAATATCCTTATTTTATTTCCCTATCATAAAAAGGAATTATTTGTCTATATGCTTAGTGGTCAAACCCTATTATTTAAAATGATGGCAACATATGTACAAATATGCTTGATACAATTGATGTATGGATTGTTATAAGAGCTGTAAGAGCCCCCTAATAAAATGATTTATTAAAATAAAACCAATCAAATAAAAAACAAACCCTACCCTTTTCTTAAAATCATTTTATTGGGGGGGATACAACTCT